TGTGAGTCCATAACATGGGAGCCTTAAGCATTTCTGGAAAGTTGTCATAACAATGAGTAGAAGCTTTGCAGGTAGATCCTGGAGCCTGTTTCTTGAAGTTCCTGTTATGTTAACAGGCTTGTAAAACTGTTCTGTTTTCATTCAAGACTAGGGTTTCAAAAGTTTTGAAAATCATACAATAAATCTAACAGCAAAACAAACTGGATTGGTTAGGGTGCCAGAACCTGCTTATAATTCTATGTTTTGAATTTTATATAAAAATATGGCATTGGACTCATTAAGTTACTGGTACTTTCAACAAACAGGCCCATGATGCTTAAAAACACACAAACCTGACAAAGTGGAACATTTTTTGGGAGTTTCTTGGCAACATCTTCCACCCATTTAAGAGGTTTCCTTAAAGGTGTAAAGTCTGCCACAACACCACCAATTTCTTTGGATTTCACAAAATCCTGAAGGACCTTGTCTGGTTCACCAAGAAGCACATGAAAAGCAATATTGAACTCTGTCAGCTCCTAGAATGAAATACCATAAGTGGTAAGAATAAAATAGTACTTCAGTTACATATGAAGGTCATATTAAAAGGAGTGCCCTAAGGAGAGGTTAACTTGTGAAGGAAAAAGAATAATTACGGTTATCACAGAGCCAAGATGGCCCTGTATGCCCTTTTATTGACAAAATTATTAAAAAATCCCAGTGTAAGACACAAGCAGGGCTGTAAAAAGTTGCAGAGCTCTATGTACCGCCCCATGAGACGCAAAATGCAAGAAGACAGGAAGAAAGAGAAAGAGCAGTGATCGCACTACGAAATGATCTGACTTACTGATCATGATGTCAGGCTGACAAGAATAGATTTGGCTCTAGGTGATAATGTACTGACTATGCTGCCTTGGTTGACGCAAGTCAAAAAGTACTCAATTCTTCCTTACAAGTACTCTACTCAGATGAATACACCATGTCAGTTTAAGTCCAAGCCTTAGCAGGAAGCTTTGAGGCAGTACACCATGGCTCAAAAAACCAAGTAGGTTTTGATGACTTGGATATAGCTTGCATCAATCATAAATAAACACCAAAATGTTCTTTGAGTTTGTTTCAGTGCTTAGCAACTGGTTTAGCTATGGATATTTCAAGATTAAATAGGAGGTTAAGGAAACTACCCTTGCAAACTGAATTCTTAGTTTTCTGGGAATTCCTAGGAATTCCTAGGAATTCTCAAAAATTCCCAATTATGCAAATGCCTCTTGCAAGCTGAATTCTCAGTTTTCTGGGAATTCCTAGGAATTCTCAAAAATTCCCAACTATACAAATTAACTCTGGTTTAAAAAGCTTGGAATTACTGGGAATTTCTGGGAAAGGAAGACTCCAGTTTTGTGAGGACTTGGAATCCCTAGGAATTCCTAGGAATTCTCAGCTATACAAACTACTTATAATTTAAGAAGGGTAGAACCCTTGGGAATTTCTGGGAATTGAATTTGAGGCAATTTTAATACCCTGAGGTCCACATAAATTCTAAGAAATTCTCAAAGGAGTAATTTCAGAGGCTTAAAACTTTGGCTCAATAAAAGGTATGCTATACAAAACTTACCAAGAGATATACATACATGTATGTTTATAACTTAAAGATCATGAAATTTATTATTCAAACTAAGTTTTAGAAAATCTTTACATTAATATGGATTTTCTCATGAACCAGCTGTCATTTATGTTAAATGAAAATTGCCAATTAATCCAATGTACTCATATCACAGATTTGCTTTCTAACCTCAAAGAACTCTTGGATTCCATGATAAAAAAATATTTTTATTGGGATGTAAATTAATGTCTCATGTTCACTGATGAGCCAAAATCATCAAACATTCATTGGCTGTTCCTTGGTACACAACTTCCGTTTTCGTGACTAATTGCTATAATTTGTTTTGCTGTTTTTATTCTTACAAAACATTTTTGTAAGAGTTCCAATACTTGTGGATCATCCACACACTTTGCAAACATTTGGCATGCAGACAAGACAGAGGTAGTCAATGTTCCCTTTGAGAAAAAACACCTTTTAAATGACATCTTCAATTTACTTTATTTGAAACTCTGATCTGAAAATATTTGTCAACAAGACTTGTTAGTAGTGAGAATTACCAACCAAGTTTCTTTTCATAACTTAATTTCTTAAATGTCCCAATCACTGGATCTCCCAAAAATTATTACATCTTTTTATTTTTGGTGCAAAATACAAGTCCTTCTTTATATAAAAA